ATGACATATTGGTGATATAACATATGACATACCTGCATCTTTGAGTACTTCATTCCACCAATCATTAATTCGTGATATACCAACATCCATGCTGATTGGATAAGCTCTGTAAAAAAAAATTATGGGAATTTCAATATTAATATTGATATACATTTATTTATTCTCCCCTCTCACTGCTAAATTTTGGCTAAAAATAAATACATGTGACTGCTCCAATGATTGGTACGTCATTCCAAACATTTTTTTTTTTGAGTGACTGATCAAGGGGTTGAACAAATACAGTGTTTTGAAAGTGGGTATGCAAACATTGACTTCAACCAAGTTGAAGCTCTATGATAGTGATGTTTGTTTTCTTGTTGCCATGGAAACACCCACGAGAAAGTATTCAAGAAAATAGATGAAATTACAATGTACCATGTATTTTATTAGATACACATGTCAAAATTGGGCAAAACATCAGGGTTTGAACTGTTTGCTATGCAGGTGGTCATGGTTGCTAGGTACTAGAAGCATTCTTTCATACTTCCTAACCTGTCACACCATAGTGCTTCATATACTGTCATACAAAAATTATGTTTCAGTATTGGTGCTATGGACACGATTCTGGTTGCTAGGGACACACCCATCTAACATCCCAGTCAACATATCTAATATAATTTTCCTTAGAATCAAGTTTATGCATATTAATGTGATAACATGACTATAAATAACTACATCAGATATGTATGGTTGTTCCAGACTAACAGAGACTAACTTGAATTCACCTAATTACTAGTAATACACAGGAAGTATAGTTACCTTGAATAAAAAATAATTTAACCAACAACAAAATATTATTTATTTCTTCTATCTTCTATGTAATAATCCTGAAAAAAAAAGTACATAACCATCAATTGTTTGCAATTTTTTAATAAATGATCAAGTTTTTTCAAAATACTATTTGAAACAATTTCAGAAAACTAGATATGGTCTTGTTTATGAACTTGAAAGAAAATTTTGTTTCCCCGTTCAAACAGATCATTACTAGTATTATTAATTGATGGGCTAGTCCAAAATTGATTCTAAATTTTGAATTTAAAACCAGATAAATTATTTCCAGTTTTCATCTGGCAGTCAAATAAACCGAAACCATAGCACAGATCAACATTGACACTTGATAGTACAAGCAGAAATAAATGAGGTTATGAGACATACGACTCCATTTATGGAAAAAACAGGATGTAGATCTAGACACTAGAAATACGAACTCAAAATAACCTATGAATTCAAGCCATTTCTTTCACACATTCATAGGTTGTTAGGAATTACCCATTTTAGAAATCCAAGGGAATAGAGGATTTTGGGGGGCGCAAATATTTTATTCACATGCATCACAAATTTGTTTCTTCACATTTTCCCAATTATTTAACATTTTCTTCATGCAACATTTTTCACAAAATCCTCCAGTACACCCCACAGTTTTCAAAACTCTGTAATATTTGTTAATGTCTTGCACACAGTGAGATCTTACAAGCATGTTATCGTATTTACAATTGGACCCCCTTTGTCTACCTTTGGATGGGCCCTGGCACGTTGCATGAGCCCTTTATCTATCTTTGGGTGGGCCCTGACAGCAGTGCAAAATACAGTAAAGTCTTCACAATATAACAATTTTAATTCCCCAAGAGGAATTTAAAGTTCCAAATAAGTAATCTTGAGTTCTTTTAAACATATTTCATTTGCAAATTATTTAATTGTTCATTTGTTGTTGATTTTTTGCTTTCATTGAGCATTCAGTGAAAAAATTATCAGTGGCGGGGGGGGGGGATAACAAACCAAGTCCAAATCGAAGAAGCTTTACAAACAAATAGGTGAACTTTCTCAGATGAACTCAATTCGTGGTTGACATTTTGACCTTTGGAATGTTTGCCACAAGTACACTTGTACAACACAAGTACATACAACCCTGCACGTTGCAACACGAGTACAATACAGCACGTAGAGCGGAATTTTAAGGGTTCACCACCGGGGAGGGAGGAGTGGAAAGTCTTGATTTGAACTATAGTGGTTCGTATAATAAGTTGACAACAGAAATACGCCTAGAATCACAGTCACTCTACTAGTAGAGTGACTGTGCTAGAATATAGCCGACCATCGACGATCGCTACATGTCGAGTTCCTACTTTCTAAGTTGACTGACATAGTTAATGACATTGACAGCAAGTTTAGCCGTAAAGACGAACTTCGCTAAAATACTTATACATATACTCACGTGTTTCGTAGAAAGTTTTATAACAAGAGTGCCGATGGCTTCGATAGGTCCCGGGATAGGTAACAGTGACCAAAAACTAACGCACGGACGTGAGTGATTAGTGCCTACGCGACAGTACAACATTGACAACCGACACAGGCGTGGACTACTGGTCAAAGTTCACTTGCATATTAATGCGGGTCCCTGATGAGGAGCAAGTGAGGCATTGTCTATAGACTTGCTTTAACGGGTAATAGATCCGCTTAGACTTGCTTAAACACAAGTTTTATTGTTCTAGTGGCTAAAATACGAAATAATGCCATGTTCTCGAAGTCGATTATTCATAATCTTTCGTATTTTTGCTTTTTGGATTGTTTTAATGTTCAAATCACAGAAGCTATCTATCACTACAACTGTGTCACGTTATTATTTGTATGTTTTATTGTACGAAAGGGGGTCTCAGTTTTGATGAGTTTGCTTTACTTATATTTACGCCTGTTTCAAAAAACGAAAACCAGTTACAGCGACTTTCACGGGCCCGATTCTGAAAGAATTACCATTGTTTAGTTACTAGATGAGAAAAAAAGAGTCCACAAAGTAAAGCAACATTGCATTTCTAAATAGTTGATGCAAATGTGCATCATTTAGAAATTATCTACTTGTAAACGCCATGCTCGGACATGACTTTGAGGCACATTCTTTCTTTGAGTCCTGAATAAAAAAAGTAAACAGCAGTGACAACACGCTTATTAACCCCCGCCCCCAAGAGTCTCATTTCATAATGATAAACCACAGTCCCTCTGTGGATTAACTAAGCCAATAGCAGCCCGGACAACCAGACGTGATGTGAATATCTCGGCCTGATATCTGGATATAGCATTGTGTTGTATCCCGATCGGACTAGTTTGACTTTGTTCGCTTCATTACGTCATGGCGCATATTGAAACAATTACTTTTAAATGCCAAATGTTTTAGTAATTTTGGACTGCATCAATGCACTTTTGTAACCCCTCTCGGGTTGTAGAAAACAATAGCAAGTCATCAGTATATAACAAACTATTGAGCTTCAGGCCATTTAAATCAACGGGGTCAAATTTTTTAACATCAACAGGTTGCCCAGGGAATTTTTGGCTAACCAGATACAATGTATTTATCCCGATCGAGATATTCAGAGGTTAGTCCTGGCTACGGTTACACAAAGAGCAGTTTAAAGAAAAATTATCCTGATCGAGACGCAGACGCACAATCATCACAATCGATGTATATATATATTTATTTATTCATATATATATATATCCTGTTCGATGGCTAGTCCTGGCTGCATAACCTAGATAACAGTATAACGTATGTAACAATTGGTGTCATTTTAACACAGGACTGGAATTGAAATATTTATGAAGTCTGAAAGATAAGCATTACCCAAATAAATTCAATTCTACACGGAGATATTTGCTTGCACTCAAAAAATAAATGTATTCATGGAATATGTAATGTATTTACTGGAGTCAAGAAAGAAACAAAATATAGAATTTAAATCTCATCAAGGTTGTCGCATGATTACATAAAGGAATGACAGCTACCATCCCAGAAACAATATTTTCATTTGAAATAGAGATCACACTTCGGGTCAATTGGAACCAAAACGAAAATGCTGGTACAGTTTGAAAGTTTGTGTTGAATTTCGAATCAAGGCGGCCACTAGAAACCGTAATTCTCGTCAAACTTATTTTTAAACAAAAAAGAATATACACGTATTAGTTGTTTGACTAAAGACATTTTCTAATGTTTGGGTTGACTTTGGCGCCCGTGCTATAAAGCGCCCTCTATAGGTAAATTAAAATATTGAAAATATTATTGCGGTCCGGATCTGTTATATTGATTACAGTTTTGAACGATTACCAAATTCATAATAGTGTTTACCAAGCAATAAAGCCCCAGGTAATGATGA